CTTCGCTCATCGGAGTTCGAATCAAGAAATGCTCTAAGAAAATTAAAAACTTCGTTTCACGGAATAACTAGAATCAATTGTGTAGAAACAAAACAAAAAAAGAAAGAAAAAGTTACTGTTCTGTAGAAATTGCGGCATTTTTTTTTGCTTCTCATTGCGTTCTTGATATAGCTGTAATGTCTGCCAAGGACATTGAAACCCCAGTTCTTTCAGCTACCGCTGCTAAGTTAAAAGTAGAAAGACACCTCTATATATATTCTTAGGACTTAAAAGATATTTCTTCTCTTCTTCGTAAGATTTTTCAATCTTTTTCTAATTCATCCGGGACTTTCTCACATTTTATTTTGTAAACTGGTTTTTATTTAGTGTCTGAAAATATTTTTTCTAGCTAAATTAGATGTTTCAAAGAAATATCAGTAATCTGACTAACTGTGTGACTTATTTTAAGATTGGGTAAAGAAGATTTACTATATTTGACCTTAAATAGGTGACTTTTGAAATTTTATTTTTGAAAATATTAGCCTTGAATATATTATTGAAATATTGCACGTAAATGCAACCGTGTGCAAAAATATGTTGACTAGACGCGAAAATTTAGATAAATATGACTTTACCAACATATAGAAAATCTCGTTGTGAAAAAACGAATCTAAGTTAAATGAAATAAAATGAAGTTAAACTGTGCTTCTTATAATCATTAGGATAGCTTCGTTACAAATGCATGAGTGTTGCAAAACTTGTCTATTTTTAATAGAAAAAAATATATTGAAATTTTTTTAAACCTGGTGTATTGCTGTAATGATTTTCAAAGAGTCTAATTAAGTGTATTTGTTATAAATCATAAATAATTTCAAGATTTTGCGACTAAGCAAATGATATTTACTAAAGATAACTTCAATCAAAACAGACCTCTTTTCACTCTAGAGCTCTGAAGAACACATAATGTTTCTTAAATAAATTTTTTTTCCAGTTTTCTTTAAAATAATTGCTTAAATATATTGCAGCGAAAGCGTTTCGATTAGCATCAATTTCCTTGCCCTTGATTTAATAGCTATTTTTGGTAAAGAATCAAGGTGAAAGATAACAACGCTAAAAGGGTACAAGAAAAACAACGGTTCTCTTCTAATGGTTTAACTTTAAAAAACAATGAAGTTGAAGAAGAGGCCACAAGAAAAAAAAAACTTTCTAAAATTTAGTGTTGTCAATTCTTTCCTCTCACTTTAGCTTATGTATGAGGTTGTTCAACGATGGTGGTTTCAAGTAGCGATAACAGTTGCTTTACGTATTCCTATGCATAAAAAACTTGTCTTCTTCCAAAGAAGTGCCAAAGATAACAACGACGAAAAAGCAACCTTTTCTGATGAGATAAAACAAGTTAATGGGGATTGGTGACAAAACGGCCACAAATGCCTTGACAGTATTAGATGTAGCGATGTTCATATTGTAAATTGAAATCGAGTCTTGTTTTTTTTATTTCTTCTTTAAAAACAGTAGATTAAATCGTTTTTATCACAGTAAAAATAAACTATGCTTTTCATTCAGAAACCCAGCTGAATGCATTTCCTTTAGTCAAAATATTTGTATTGAAAATGTGGCTTTGTGGAATGTTTTAGTGTGCAATAGATCTCCAGTAAAAGGAAATATTTCTTTAGTACTCTGTCTGAATGCGCAGACCATGTTGCATTAAAAATTTACCATGGCTGTGACAACTTTCCTATGAATTAATTAAAGTTCCTAATTAGATGACATGATGCATTGTGGAAAATGCATCAACTATTCCAAAAATCCATTAGGCCGAAATCCGTTGAATTCTTGAAAGGTTTAATCCTTATAATGTGGAATTTAAATCCTGAGCTTTTCTAAAATGCTCTTAGTTATTTAATACGCTTAATATTTAGTCCTCCAACAATTCGATGGAAATATGACCAAATATTTGTTTCAAATTAAAACTCAAGTGATATTTATTATTCATGGGAGTTTTATTGATGATTCTAGCGTATATTTTTACTCTTTTTTTAAATTTTGTTTTTACTTTGTTAAATATTATTTTCACTTGCCACTGAAACCTAAAGCTATAACTTATTTACTATGTTCTCAACTCAAATATTTTTTCAAAAATGCTTTCAGATAATAGAGTGAATAATTTACACATCATACAAAGTTTGTTCAATAAAAATACATTCTAAAATAAATAAATAAATAAATAAATAAAAGCTATCATTATATGTTTTGATTTTTAAAGAGTATCAGGTTCTAGTCACAACAGAGAAATATTTATTTAAAAGCATTTTCTCTGAAAGCATCAAATAACACATGGAAGCGGGAATATTGGATTTACTCGTACAGACGGCTAATGTCGTCGCATTTCAGGAGGGTTTCTTTATTTTAGAACAAGATTTGGCAAATGTTAGTTCAATGTACTTTATTCTCACCATACTCGGATCATAATATTGTTTTGTTGATAAATATTGCAATCAAGCTTCTTAAGCAAAATATTATGAAATTCAGAGTCAATGATACTGTCATAATTATTACAGAAAGTTTTTCCTATGTTTCTACTTAAAAATTATAGCACCCATTCTCTAGCAGCTAAGAAAGCACTGCAATTTCAAAGTAAAATGAACGCCAATGCGGAATTCCTCAACGGAATCTTCTTCTTAGTACATTGACCACAGGTTTGTTGGAGAAGTTGTCATCAAGAGATGTTTCTTTAAGAATGAATTGCGAAACGCGTGATGTAATAATGAAATCTTATCTTTTCACTATTTCTCTTCGCTTTTCCGTTGTCTTGTGCATTACATCCTTATGCATTAATCATTTTGAAGTGTGAGTGTGTGTGTTTTCGAAATTTGTTAGAAGATCATTGGCCTAAATGTCATATACCCCCTTGTTGGGCAATGGCAAAATGCCAACTTCATCGTACGTACCTTTAAAAGGGTTATTCATGGAAAGTTGTGTTGTGTTTGAGATACTTCATTTCCATTAAGTTCATTCTCTGTTTTATGCTGTTTGAGATATATATTTAAGTGACAGTTGTTACCGCACCTGTGAGAGAAGACTTTAATACGCTCACGAACTTAAATGAAGAGTTCCTAAACAAAGCTTTCGTAAGATGGGGGTTTGAACAATCTCCCGTGTGAAGTGTTTTCTTTCTATCTTTATGAGCTTTATTACTAAGGCTGATTCTTATGTAATATTTTTTTATACAATTAATGTATACTATTTTTGATACTTTTGAAATTCGTATATTCGTGATATATGATTATGGATATCCACCCGCCCACTCACGCATGCACACACAATATCCATCTATCCATATATATATATCTTTAGGTAAGTTACCTTTTTTACGATGGATTTAGAACTTCTATCCATTATATTTCATAGAATTTTGCTCAATATTGTAAGCAGTAAGTGGGAAGGTTTTGGCTAGCTATAGAACTGGCTAAATCCCACTAGTATACAATTTTAAAAGCTGTCTTCAGTCAGTATTGTTTATAATACTGCATTATTCATCTTTATAACTTTCCAAGTTCTCAACGGTTTTTATCTTTAATATTCAAGTTATTTTTCAGTCTTTCAAATATAATTTATAAAAAATTATATATATTTAAACATATGAAATTTTCTCAATAGTTTTCTTATATCTGACTTTTTTTATATTCTCTATGGTTACTATTTAATCATAGTTTTCTTTTCAAAGACTTTATTTTCTCCAGAAAAATAATGTTCTCACGAATTTTTTTTTTCAAACATGGTTTCAGATTTTTCTGTAACTATTTGGTTTTTCTGTTAATTGAAACATTGGTGTTTTAATAATGTGACTACCTTTATTTGATGCGAAAAAGCTTCTGAAATATATTATTTAAGTATGGGTTCTCTATAATTAATTATATTCCTGTGCAGCAGCTTATATGAAAAAAAAAGTGTCCTATAATTTAATAGAATATACTCTTTGCCTGAAGCTATAATAACTAAAGTTTATTGTTTACTGAAATATAGTTAGAAAAATGCAAAAAGTCAATGCAGCACTAAAATTTATATTTTATTACACTGTACGAATAATTTTTATTCATATTTATTAAATCTGCGTTAAATAATGCAATATTGGTGCAACAATGTACTGGTTAAATATTGGTACCACGATGCAATATTTTCCTTTTAATTAAAACTCTACAAATACGTTTTATTTACTTTTGAAAACATAATTAAAAGTGAATGAGTTCTCTGACTATGATTTGGAAGAGGAAAAAAGCTAAAATCAAAAACTACCATCTGAATATTGATCAATTTGATTATTTTTTTTTTATAAAACCCTAATTGCAAACGAAGATGATTAAATTACAGAAAATTTTGGTATGTTGAAGAAATGTGTTTTAGAAATTGCGATGGTTCTTTGTTGTACAGAATCTGCATCTCTAAAGTGATTATGGGGTCTTACAAATTCCACCAAGACAGCTAAAGTAAATGAAATTTCAATACTATTAAGCATTTTAAAGTGTTTTAATTACTCATGAAAAGGAACAATTTTGAAGACTAAACACATAAAAAATGTAGAAAAATATGTTAAATATAATTCAGTATTTACTTTCACATACACAAAATTACTCGATTATAACAATATGCAGCAAAAACAGGAGTATAACGGTCACTGGTGTATAAAGCGCACCTATATTTTCATGTTGCCTTTTTTAATTTTTTGGTATATTCATCGTATAATGAGCACCCCCTTTTTCATTCAATTCCTAGTATTAGTTTACTCTCTCCCTATGTATATTTATTTATATATCTTGTTCAAATTTTCAATCGTTAATAAAATACTTCCTATTCATCCATTCAAGTTCAAATAAATTTTTTTAAACTTGTACTGGATGACACTTGATGTTAATACAATTTTTTTCAAATATTAGTTCGTTAATTAAATTTAAAAAAAATACTGAATAAATATTAACAAAATTAATTACCAAACAGCATGTATAAAAAGGAAAATCGCTCGTTGTGTCCCTGTAGCACAATGGATAGCGCGTTGGGCTGCTATCCCGAAGGTCGTGGGTTCGAATCCCACCCAGGATGACCTAATTTCTGAGAAAATGATTTATGATTATTTTTCTACTATTTTATTAGAACAATGAAATTTAATGAACGAATAAATAGTAACAATAAAAAAAAAATAGTCCAACACCCTATATAGAAAGGGAAACAGAAAATTGCTTTCTATTTTGTCACTTAATATTGTGATTCTTTCATATGTATATTTATATATTAATTGTAATTATTTAAAATAAAAAGTAACTAATATAAAATTTTTCTTTGTAGACCTAAGTAGGAAATGACTGAATTTTTTTTTATATTATTTGTTTCGAAGAAATCTGAAATTTAGGTGCGCAGGGTTCATATGTTTTGAAGTCATTTATTAAAGATGTTATTCCAGGCTTTTGAAGAAAATAGTATGCTCTCTCTCTTCTAGAACTCTACAACCCTTTAAGTTTATAAAGTATACCATTTCTTTTATATAAACAGTATTTCAATGTATAACTATTTTTTTATGTTCATCGATTCTTTTATTTTTAAAGCTATCATTTTTATACCCGCTATATAACGCTTACCCATAAATTTCAATCTAATTAAAAAGTGTTAAAAGTGCGAGTTATATATACGCCGGTTTAAACAGTGAGTTTATTTTAGTTTTAACAATAAATGAAATATTTATTTTAACGTTATTAATTATTTTTATTATACCAAGTGTAAGTATCATAAATCTTCGCAAAACTTTCATCCTTATTCTGTGAGATGTATTACATTTTCCACCTGTCACATTTTGATTGTGCAGAGCTGCAAGTAAATATGAGTAGCTTATTGACCCAAACAATGTTTGATGTGAAGTAGATGATTGGGATCGAGTCTTCCATGATGTCTGATGGGACGAAAAGCTACCATCCGATTCATTGTCATTGGTCGGAAAAGCTTGAAGCCCGCCCCCACCGCATTTGTTTTAATCTTGTTCGCATTCCTCCATTCTTCCCCTTCTATCAATCGATACTCTAGTACAGCGTTCTGTAAGCCGAATGCTCAAGATTTACAAAATATGGGACTAGACAAACTTTTATGTTGCTGTAAAGATGGCATTAGCTCACATAGATCTTGGTATAGGATATTGAAATCGAGGGAATGGAAGCAACAGTGTCCAAATTACATTCTATAGACAAATTTGAGATCCCTTTCCAGATTACTGGCTATGAATCTCGTTTGTGTGTCCAGTTCATATAGCAATACTGATACCTATAAAATGTTTGGGATTTAATATTCGGTTAAAATGGAATTCTTTTTATTAGAATTAATTTAATTAGAATCACAATAAGATTCTTTAGTGATTCAAACTGCTATGCATCTAAAATTCCCCGACTAAAACATTTTGGTATTCACAGAATTCATATAAGTAGAAATGCTGATTGTTTTTTCGTTACAGCCACACACAGAAAAGTAGTTTCAACTAAAACAAAACATTAATTTTAAATTAAGTGTGAAGGTACGATTAAATGATTATATAAAAATCACACACACACACACACACACACATTTATTGTGGTAAAACGAAAAAGATAGTATTATGAAGGAAACATGTGTAATCAAAAGTTTAAATTTTATGTTCCTAATTATCAGATTTTTAAAATTTTGTCAAATCCATGCTCGTTTTATTTAATGAGAAATATAATAAAAATATTATTAATAATAATTTATTAATATTATTTGTTTCAAGATATTTTAATTAGACAGTTGAAATAATTTGAGTTGGTGTTTGTTAATTTACAAAGACTTCAAATGATTGGAAGTCTTACGGAAATAAATTGCATATATATATTTATAAAGCTTTGATTCTGAAAATAAATGGCCAGCTTCATAATTTTTTGTTAAATTTTTTTTTGAGCTACAAGAGTATTAATTTTTAATAATTTACGTAATTTTGTAGATTTCTGATATCAATTGAGAAAATGAAATTAGAACTGAAGAATGTTTTGCATAAAACAAATCAAACACTCCAGAAATTTGAAGGAAAATCAAGTTAAAAACTTAAGCCATAAGCAAAACATTTCTTTTTCAGACAAGTGAAATTTTTCAATCTATTTATAAAGCAGATTTTTTTTAAGTACTACATCGCAATATATCTATTAAATAAAATCAGTATGAATATACAAGCAATCAAGATTTTGAACTATTAAGAAAGATTTTGGTTTCAAAAATTATAATTTATTCAAATCTGTTTTAATGAGTGCAAAAAAGAATTCAAATCAAATTATAAAATAAATTTTAATTTTAGAAATTTAATAAATATTTATATTTACGGGAAAAAAAGACAGTGATAACTCTAATTTTAAGTTAATCCTTCCTTTCCATTAACAGTTTTTCCCTAAATAGCACTAAATTTGTCTTTAACTATAGTACTATATCTAAATATTCAACAACTAGAAAGCGAGAAGATGCAGCGGACTAGTCGAAATGCTACATTACGGCATTACTTATCTCCTCCCCCCCTTACTCGACGGTAATCTCTTCAATCCTCTTAATTACTGAAGTGCATTGAACCTCATGTGCAAAGTAAAAATTATGAGCAGAGTGTTGAATATCTGAGAGGAACTGCAAATGAGTTGCTAGTTCCACCTCAATTTGAATAATATCATTGTTTCGTATGCAAAGCACTGACTTCATTCATGAATGGAATAAACATTTGCAGTGCTTAGAAGGTAGAAATACAAAGAGATTAAAGCAATCTCGATTTGTTTACAAATTTGGTTTTCCTCGTTTAACACGTGATGAAATAAAATTCTTTCACTCACCACATTGATTTTTCATCATCAAGTTACTTTGTGAGATTACACCCATTCCTGTGAAGTAATTATATGAGCTCTAGTCTTATTTGGAATAACTTACTCAGTTCCAGAGCTCTTTGGGATTCGGGTTCACAAAAGGTCGACTCGGTAGTTCATTTGTAGTGTAAGCCCAAGGTTATGGGTTTGATCCCGGCTGAAGTTGATAGTTTTATGGATGCGAAAATCGTAGGCACGCACGTTTTATGATTATGTGGCATGGAAAAGATTCCTTGAGAATCAATTTGGTTCTGGTACTTTCGGCAAAATTCAATCACGGTAATATTTAGCATCTAACGAAAACTTGAATTAAATAAATTTAAACTTCGAAAATTTGATAGTGGGAGCCGCGCCACTAGATGGTGCCACGAATAAAATGACACTCACTCTTGGGAACTTACCGTATTTGCAAAGGCTATACTGCCAAGATGCAGCCCATTTGAAAGAAAAGAACTTACAAAAATGAGTTGACTATAACAGCTCTTTATTTTATTTAAGTAATTTCGTAGACTTTCGGAGTTCTGAAGTAAGACAGAAGTAAAGAGAAAATATTACCTTAAGAAACAAAAGTAAGATATACAAGTTGGCTAAATAATTCGTGGATTTAAATATTGTCCTATGCCTAAAGTCGTGCAATTTAGAGCCACAATGGTAATTTGTCATTGTTCTTTTTTTGATGTAACAGAATGAGAAACATCAAACCTTTCCCTTTCAACTGCGTTCCAACACGCCGTAATATACTAAGACAGAAAACACATTCACTTTAGCCCTTTGTTTATTTGTACAGAAAACTTAGGAAAATAAATGAAGTGGGATTCTTAGAAGAAATGAAGAAATAAGATTTTTCTTAAGTAAAAAAGTGTACGAAATTAAAAACAATACATGAAATTGGAATTAATGAGTATATATATATATATATGCAAACGTATATAATGTATATGTCCATTTCTTATCAATTTATGTACCTATTAACTTCAACTGGTTATTTTCTTTGTAAGCAATAACACCTTTTGTGTTGATGGCGGCTTTTAAGTATCCTAATATTCCTGAAACTTTTTCCTTACTATTTATACATACATACATACATATTTTTACATAATAAAAAGTTCCCAATATAATGCTAATAAACACATTTTTAAAGACTTTTTTATTAATTTGAAATTAAAAATGGGCATTTTCTTCAAAACAATTTTTCAGAATTTGTCAATTTTTCAGATCAATTCGAATACTCCTAAACTTTTTCTCAATTTTTGTGTGTTTATAAAGGATTGAAAAAGAAAAGGAAAGGCATTGATGTTAATTTATGTAAAGCAAGGCGTATTCGATATAAAACTCTACAATGTTTTATGACAAGCTATTACATAGCTAGAAATTCCTTTTCTCTTTATTTTCATAAAATTATTTTCATTCAAACTCAAAGGTAAGTAACACGAAACCAAAACAAAACCAAATCTCCATTTGTTTCATAACACTAATAAGAGTCGGTTTATTTACTTTAACGCGTGGACTTCAAAATGCATACAAATGATCTGGGATGTTAGAAAAAGAAGGGGGGGGGGAATAAACAAGAAAAAAAACCCAAATATTCCTTTTTTTTATTCACCATGAAATCTTCATATCATTCTGAAGTATATCTGATGGCAACAACTCACGTCAATCACTGAAAAAATTACCATTTTCGTGGTCGAAACTTCTGTGCGCATTTCCCCCTTATGTCATAGCTTTTCCGCTTGCTATTGTACAAGGGAGGGCGCAAATCGTGTGTAAGATGTAAAAAATGCTAACATCCAGCATATATTTAAACTGAAATTAAGACAAAGAAATGCGACTAGGAGAGAAAAAAACAAATAAAAATCCCGCAGGCAGAGGTAAAAGAAGGAAGAAAAAAATGAAGGGGAAAAAAAACCCCCACTGGAGTCATGCCGATGTTCATTGCCCCCCCCCCCTCCCGTAGTCCTTAACCGCATACAAAAGTTCCAGCGTTATTTATTAATATTTCCAAGAAGTTTACGATCTTGCTTCGCTGCTACTGCACATAAAGATACTGAATTGTTGAAGACAAAGAAATATCTAATTTACGTGATTGCGTGCTATGCACTCGCTTTTGCCCAAAACAGTTGACTCTGTAATGGGGAAGATTTAGAATAGAAAATGACTTATAATAAAATGTATTAGTCGATGCTCCTACAGTTGAATGGTAAAAAAAAATTA